TATCATTTTAAATATAAGTGACTGTCCAGTCTTTTCTCAAAAACTTCCAGTGATGGAGCACTCACAATTTCTAAAGGCAAAGCAGTTCCACTGGTTAATTGTCCTCAATGTTGGGAAATTTCTCCTTAATTCTACGTTGCTTTTCTCCTCGATTAGTTTCCATCCATTGTTTCTTGTCCTGCCTTCTCTGGTGCTTTGGAGAATAGCTTGACCCCTTCCTCTTTGTGGCAGCTCCTCAAATATTGGAATATTGCTATCGTGTCCCCCTTAAGTCCTTCTTTTGTCTGGACTAGCCGAACCCAAATCCTGCAACCGTTCTTCACATGTTTTGGTCTCCAGGCCTTTGATCATTTTAGTTGCTCTTCTCTGCACTTGTTCCAAAAGTCACAACTTCTTTTTTGTAATATGGTGATGACCAAAACTGGATGCAGTATTCCAGGCGTGGCCTTAATAAAGGCTTTAGGAAGCGGTGCTCACGTTTCATGTGGTTTTGACGCTATGCCTCTGTGAACACAACTTAGGATTGTCTTAGACATCTCACCCCATTTCCTGCCTCTGCCCCCGCCCCCCCCACCGCCAACAAAATTAAAAAGTCTGAACTGTGCGATTAAACGTCAGTCGCAACATTATTTGTTAGATCCTGCGGTTTGGGATGTTTTGAGTGAGTTTGCAAATGTAAGAATTGGACTCTGTTTGCACGCCAAAGGATTTATAGTCTCCCACCTTTCAAACCCCCCAGGGTGCCAACATCTGGATTAAACATTTCATTCCGGGGATATTGGATAGTTCTTGGGGAAATCTGCTACCGCCCACAGCACAAAGGAAGCGGCTTGTCTCTCCTGCACGCCACCATCCAAACACCCTCAGACACAACACATTCTCAACTCAGAAGAAACACCTCCGATTTTTTAATTACGATGTACAGAATTAACTAGGATGTACGACAAAGTTAGAAGGGACCTTGGAGGTCTTCTAGTCCAGTGGTTGCCAACCAGTGAGCCAGGGACCACTAGTGGTCTGTGAGAAAATGTTGGTGGTCTGCAGAGAAATGTCATCCCCCCCACAAAGCAATTGATCCAGGCTACGCGGGAACACAAGGCTGCACCGCCCACGTGGTCTGCGGGAACACAAGGCTTGCGTCGCTTGCATTGCGAACAACACGAGGTAGTGAGAGGAAAGGGAGGGGGGGAAAGGGCGGAGAAGGGGGGGAACTTGCCCCACTCGCCCCACACACCTGGCCTGGCCACCGGGCTGCTTCTTTCCGCTTCTTTCTTCTTCTGCTTTTGGCTGCAGGCAAGGAAAGCAGCAAAAGTCTTTCTTTCTCTCCCACAAACTCCACCAGAAATGAATCTTTGGGACCCCGCAAGGCATTCTTGCTCCAAGAGGCTGCGCCATTCTGGCGGAGTTTGGGGGAGAGAAAGAAAGATTTCTGCTGCTTCTGCTGCTTTCCTTGCATGAAGCCAAAAGTCTCTCTCTCTCTCTCTCTCCCCTTGAGAACGGAACTGGAGACGGTATCCTGCGGTCCGAAATAAAGAATGATCGATCTGTAGGAAAACGGGGTGGGGAATTTTCCTGCAGACTTTTTTGGGGGGGGTTTCCAAGGGTCTCTGATACATGGGATTTAAAATTATGAGTTTGGTGGTCCCTGAGGTCCAAAAGGTGGGCGACCCCTGTTCTAGTCCAACCCCCTGCCCAAGCAGGAGACCCTATACCTGTGATGGCGAACCTATGACATGCATGCCGGTAGTGGTACTCAGAGCCATCTCTCCGGGCACGCTAGCTGTTGCCCATGGCTCTTCTGGTTTCCAGCGTGTGCATGTGCACCAGCCAGCTGGTCTTCATGCACATAGGAGCGCCGGAAACCAGAACAGCAGCTCCGCAGCATGCATACACGCGCCAGAAAGCTGAGCTTCCAGTTCGCGGCACGCCAGCTGGTCTTCGTACGCGCATGCGCACCAGAAACCAGAAACTCAGCTTCCCTCTACCTGCATGCGTGGCAGGGTGCTGCTCTTCCGGTTTCCGGCGCTCCCATTTCGGCACTTGGTGCCGAAAAGGTTCGCCAACACTGGTATATAGGGCAGTGTTGGCCAACCTTTTTGGCACCGAGTGCTGAAAGGGGAGCGTTCGTGCGTGCATGGGGGGGGGGGAGCACCAGAAACCGGAAGAACAGCGGCCCTGCATACATGCATGCACCGGAAACCGGCGCATGCATGCCAGGGAACTCCTCTCCTGGTTTCTGGCATTCCCGCCTGGGTGAAGACCAGCTGGCTGGCACACGTGTGCATCGGAACCCGGAAGGGCAACGGATGATGGCTGGCGTGCGCGGAGAGATGGCTCTGTGTGCCACTTCTGACACACACGCCATGGGTTCCCCAGACAAGTGGCCGTCCAGTTTCTTCTTAAAAGCCTCCAGCGATGAAGCACCCACAACGTCTAAAGGCAAGCTCTTCCATTGATTAATCATGCAGTATCCGAAAATTCCTCCCTATTCCTCCAGGTTGGATCTCCTTCTGCGTTCAACTCCCAGAGTTCCTCCCAGCATGCTTTTAGAGGAGTGGATCCTAGAATCATAGGGTGGGAAGGGGCCTCAGAGGTCATGTAGTCCAACCCTCTGCTCAAGCAAGAAACCCTGTACCATTCTAGACAAATGGTCGCCCAATCTCTTCTTGAAAACCTCCCACGATGGGAGCGCGCACAACTTCTGGTGGCAAGCCATTCCACTGGTTAATTGTTCTCAAAGTCAGGAAGTTTCTTCTTAGTTCTAAGTTGCTTCTCTCTTTAACGGTCTTCTACCTATTACTTCTTGTCCTGCCTTCAGCGGCCCAAAAAAGCCAACGCAGTCCCAGGCTGCATTAAGAGAGGGATAGAATCAAGATCAACGGATGTGTTAATACCCCTTAATAATGCTTTGATAAGGCCACACACGTGGAATACTGCATCCAGTTTTGCTCACCACGGTGTAAGAAAGATGTTGAGACTCTAGAAAGAGTGCAGAGAAGAGCAACCAAGAGGATTAGGAGACTGGAAGCTGAAACATATGAAGAACAGTCGCAGGAATTGGGTAGGTCTAGTTTAATGAAAAGTAGGACTAGGGGTGACATCATAGCATTTTCCCAATCTCTCAGAGGTTACCACAAAGAAGAGGGAGTCAAGCTAACCTCCAAAACACCTGAAGGCAGGACAAGAAGCAATCGGTGGGGACTAACTAGGGAGAGAAGCAACCTAGAACTTAGGAGAAATTTCCTGATAGGGAGAACAATTAACCAGTGGAACAACTTGCCTCCTGAAGTTGTGAATGCTCCAACATTGGAGGTTTTTAAGAAGAGATTGGACAGGCATTTGTCTGAGATGGTATTAAGGTCTCCTGCCTGACCAAGGGGTCGGACTAGATGCAGGAGTTGCCAACCTTTGGGACCTCAGGGATCACCAAAGTCATAATTTTAAATCTCACGGACCACTAATATGAATTTTGGTCATATCAGAGCAGCTGCTTCTCCACCTGGGTGCACCGGCCTGCCATGGACTGGAGGAGGAGCTGCTCCGGGATGACCAAAGGGCCAGTCCTGTGACTTCTGCAGCTCTGGAATATGGGACTGACTTTCCCAGCAACGTCAGCAAGCCACCCCGGAGCGGATTTCCCTCCCTCGCCGTTAGTCTCACCTTTCAGTTCCAGCTCGTGTGGCTCTACTCAAGGTAAGGTTTGCGCTTGGCCGAAGGATGGGGGCTAGTGGGTGGGTGGGCCATAGGCAGGGGTGGGATTCTACCAGTTCGCACCCATTTGCTAGAACCGGTTGTTAACATTCTAAGCAGTTCGGAGAACCGGTTGTTAGAAGAAATTACAGGGCTAATCCTGTAAGGAAGGCAGGAAGGAAACATTCTGGGGTTGCTGACAGAAACGGCCTCTCCGTTAACCCTTATTACATTCTTGGCAGGACTAGACTTCCTGTCTCAGGAACGTCTCTGGAGTTTTTTTCTCCCTCCTTTGCTGGTACTTTGCTCGTGTGGAGTGACCATTCAAAGTTACAATGGCACTGAAAAAAGTGACTTATGACCCTTTTTCACACTTACGACTGTTGCAGCATCCCCACAGTCATGAGAGGCCAGGCGAGGAGATGCGTGCCTCGATGTGAGTGATGTTGTGTTGGCCACGTCTAGCCAATAACATGACCACCAAGCCATGTTCACCCAGTCATATGACCACCAAGCCACGCCTACCACCTAAGCTATGCCCACAGAACCGGTTGTTAAAAATTTTGAATCCCAGCCCTGGCCATATGGGTGGCGTAGCCTTGTGTTCCTGCGCAGCCTGGATTAATTGCTTTGGGGGCTGCTTTGTGGGGGGGACATTTCTCTGTGGACCACCAACATTTTCTCACGGACCACCAGTGGTCCCCAGCCCACTGGTTGCCGACCATTGGACTAGAATGTCAGAGTATATTCATGAAATGGAATAGAACTTGGTAACAAGGTCAGCCAATGAATAGGCATAGCAATTAAGTCAGCCAGTGAGGACTGTTTGGAAACTGAAAGTAGAGGTAGCCTAGGCGTGGCTCTATAATAAGCTCTGCTGCTCTGAAGCTACATGAAGCTCTGAGTCTGTCTATTGAAAATGAAACTCCTTCTCTCCTCTGCTGTGTATAATGCTTGCCTGCTGAACTAAAGTGAAACTGATGTGTTTCTGAGCTGCTGAGGTTGCTGCTGAAGCTCTGAATTTGTAACATGTTTACTTCTGTCTGAGTTTGCTCCACGTTGGAGAAATCTACAACTGGTTTGTAAAATCTACTTATTATGTTTATAAAGATGTTAAACGAAGCATCAGCCATCTGGGTTTATTTTTCTGGAGCTGAATTAACGTTGCAAAAACTCGAATACAGGAGACCTCTGAGGTCCCTTCCAACTCTTCTCGTCGGCTGTCACCTTGACGTCCAATCTTCCTACTTCCTAGTTTGTCGCCTCCCTCCTCTGCCCAAAATATTTTGGCACCCCTGATGTGGACTCACCCAGGTGATCTTCCGACTGGTTAAACCCGCAGATTTGACAAATGTTCCGCACCCATTTGTTCATTTCCTCTTCCGTTTCTGCCACCAGGTAGAAGGTCCTCTCGCTGGTTTTGATGTCAAAGACGAAACTGTCCTGCAGCTCCTTCTTGTTGAAGGTCAAACCGGCGTCCACCTGTTCACAGAAGTTGAGGTTGATCACACGCAGGGGCTTCTTAGAGTGATTGTTTTTGTAGTACTCCAGGACATCGGGGTCGCCACTCATCCGGCCACTGCGAAGGATAAACCACCGTTTCTTCCAGGCCTGGAAGACACAGGAAAAAAAAAAGAGAAATTTTAATTTTTGGAAAGAGAAGGAGCCAGTGTGGGATTCTACCAGTTCGCACCCATTCGCTAGAACCGTTGTTAACATTCTAAGCAGTTCGCAGAACCGGTTGTTAGAAGAAATTACTGGGCTAATCCTGTAAGGAAGGCAGGAAGGAAACATTCTGGTGTTGCTTACAGAAACTGCCTCTCTGTTAACCCTTTTTACATTCTTGGCAGGACGAGACTTCCTGTCTCAGGAACTTCCCTGGAGATTTTTGTTACCTCCTTTGCTGGTACTTTGCTTGTGTGGAGTGACCATTCAAAGTTACAATGGCACTGAAAAAAGTGACTTATGACTGTTTTTCACACTTGCGACTGTTGTAGCATCCCCACAGTCATGAGAGGCCAGGGAAGGAGATGCGAGCCTCGATGTGAGTGATATTGAGTTGGCCACGCCCAGCCAATAACATGACCACCAAGCCACGTCCACCAGTCACATGACCACCAAGCCACGCCCACCACTTAAGCTACGCCCACAGAACTGGTTGTTAAAAAATTTCAATCCCACCCCTGGAAGCAGCTACCTGGGTTTGATTCCAATTGAGCTGGGATTAGAAGAATTCTTCGAGTTGTGACTGTAATTCAGCACCACGGTTATAGATACTCTTTGATTTATGGCCATTCGTTTAGTGACTGTTTTAAGTTATAACATTTTTTTCACACTTATTGGCAACTCTAAAACTGCCGGAATCCTGACACTTATGACCCTAGTGTCAGGATTCCGGCGACTGCCCTAATTAAATCATGAACCTCGAGACAAGCTTCAAAAGAATCCAGAAGATTCTTTTACCAATAGCTCCATCTTACTCAGGAATGCATCATTACCAGCAGGACCCTAAGTTGAATGAGAAATGGAAAAGTGGATTAAGTGTGACATCAGATGTGTCCTAAAATAATATTTATTCATAGAATTGACTTAGAAAAAGGCTTGGAATTTACCAAATAATCACAGACATAGAAAAGGAAGCTCCAATGATCGAAGTTAAAGTGTGTTGATAATATTAAGAATAATATTCACATTGTTATTTCATGAAAATGCAGCAATAGATTTTTAGTTGCATTTTTGAAACTACTAATACCAACTAGATCCGTGATGCGAATGGCACGCTGCAAGGCTTTTCAAGCAGAATAGGCCCGTTTTGTCACTTCCTGTAATACCGGAAGTGACGAAACGGGCCTATAATTTGGCCTGAAAAGCCTTGCAGAGGCCTTTTCCAAGCTTCTAGGAGGCCGAAAAAGGCCTCAAACCAGCCGAAAAATCAGCCGTGAGACGCAGTGCAGGTAAGGGGGTGGCCACGTGATCAAAATTCAGATGCTTGACAACTGACTCATAGTTATGACGGTCGTAGAGTCCCTAGGTTGTATGATCTCCTTAACCTTCTGACAAGCAAAGTCAAGGGGGAAAGTCAGATTTACTTAACACTGTGTTACTAATTTAACAACTGCAGTGATTCACTTAAGAACTATGGCATCAAAAAGTCATAAACGGGGGCAAACCTCACTTAACAAATGTCTCCCTTAGCAACCAAAATTTTGGGGCTGAATTGGGGTTCTAAGTTGAGGACTGCCTGTAATGTACTTCTCCAATGGCTAATTCTGAAATTCAACGTATCAACCAGGCCGGTTTCATCAAGAACTGCGGCACCACCGACGCCATCTTCGGTGTGCGGATGCTGATGGAGGCTCACAGAGAGAAGAAAATCCCGCTCCACACCGCCTTCCTGGACTTGGAAAAGGCCTTCGACCGAGTCCCGCACGATCTCATCTGGTACGCACTGCGAGATCACGGCGTGCCTGAGCTGCTCGTACAATGGGTCCAACTCCTATACAGATGTCACAAAAGCCGTGTAAAAGCGGCAGCTGGGACATCAGAGGAGTTTAATATCACCGTCGGCGTACACCAGGGCTCTGCTCTCTCACCACTGCTGTTCATTCTGGTGATGGACACCATTACACACGATCTGTACACGCCCGCCCCATGGACGCTGCTCTACGCCGATGATGTGTTCCTGGCCAACCTGTGCAAGGCTGAACTCGAGCACCTAGTCCAACAGTGGCACGACCGCCTCGAGCAGTTCGGGCTCCGGCTGAATCTAAAGAAGTCCGAATACCTAACCACTGACAATGAATTGACAGGCTCCATCCACGTGAACGGGCAGGAGCTACCGTGCGCCTCCACCTTCAAGTACCTGGGAACTACTCTTGGGGAAGAAGGCCTACTACAAACTGAGGTGGCAGCCAGGATCAACGCAGCGTGGGGCAAATGGAAGTCCGTCATGGGCGTCCTCTGTGACAAGAAGATGCCGGTGCGCCTGAAGGTGAAAATCTATAACTCTGTTGTGCGCCCCGTGGCCATATACGGCGCAGAGTGCTGGCCGACGACCAAAGAAGTCGAAAGCAGACTCCAGATAATGGAGATGCGAATGCTCCGATGGTCGGTAGGCCTCACCCTACTCGATCGCATCAGGAACGAAGAAGTGCGTAGACGGTTCAACGTCGTGCCCATCCCCACGGTCATGAGGCAGTCCCGGCTACGATGGTTCGGCCACGTGAGCCGCGCCAAGGAAGAATCCATCATCAAATCTGCAATGAAGGTGACTGTTGGAGGAGCGAGACCGCGTGGTAGACCTAAGCAACGCTGGATGGACACAATCAAGGCCGATCTAGTGATCGCGAAGGCAGACCTGACATACGTGGTAGACAGAGTGGTGTGGAAGCAGTACTTAAGGACATTAGCGGACCTCGCCAGAGCGCGAGACAAACGCTGAAGAAAAAGAAGAAGAAGAAGAAGAAGAAGAAGAAGAAGAAGAAGAAGAAGAAGGAGGTATCATTAGGGCAAGGGGGTCTTCGAACTTGGCAAGTTTAAGACTTGTGGACTTCAACTCCCAGAATTCCCGAGCTAACCTGACTGGAGGAGGAATTCTGGGAGTTGAAGTCCACAAAAGTCTTAAAGTTGTCAAGTTTGAAGACCCCCCCTGCCTTAGGGTGTCATTGCAACTCCAAGGAACACAGGTGACTGATCAACCCAGCTTTGATTCATTTGTACTCCAAGAGAGGGAAGGATGATCACACCACCTCATCATCAGCAATTTTGGGGACAAATAAATCACAGCAGGAGAGAATCATCCACAGGGCGTGTTTTGAAGGCTGTTTGGCTGGAATGCGTCAAGAGATGCATGATAATTCATTTGTATGTCCTAATAAAGCAAGGATTGTCAAAACACACTGTGGGTTTATACAGGAGCTGTGCACGCATGGGAATAATTCAGAAGAGCTGCTTTGGACTTGCTGCTAATTAATACAGCCCCATCTCTCTCTCTCTCTCTCTCTCTCTCTCTCTTTTTCAGACTTCCACACGACTTTCCACAAAGAGCCAACTCACTGAAAACATCTCTTCAAGCAGCCCCGTTTGTTTTCAGACCTCCACATCAGCTTAAAAGCATAGATGAGGCTGCTTTCATGAGGGAGCTCATGAAAGCAACTCTTCAATCATCCCCATCTTTTTTCAGACTTGCCCCTGAGTCGATTTGGACTTGTGGCTAATTAATACAGCCTCATCTTTTCTTTTCTTTTTCCAGATTTTCACATGAATTTAAAGACAGAGGTATAGCTACTTTAATGAGTCAGCTCATGAAAACTACTCTTCCAACAGCCCCGTCTTTTTTTTTTTTTTCAGACATCCACATCAGCTCAAATAAAGAGATGGGGCTGCTTTAACAAGTCAGCTCATGAAAACAATTCTTCTAGCAGCCCCACCTCTTTTTTTCAGACTTCCACATCAGCTGAAACAAAGTGATGGAGCTGTTTTCATGAGTCAGCTCTCCGAGCAGCCCCATCCTTTTTCAGACTTGCATGGAAAGCTAAAAAGAAAAAAGAAGAGACAGTTGCTTTCAGAAGCAGCTGGAGGTGCTACGCTCATATAAAATCTGTAGCACTTCTTCTGAATCATTCGACTTTAAATTTACGCTAGTTGGAGTTTGGGAATCGTCCTTCCCATCTGTTAGATTTCTGCAAGATAGCAAGCTCCTATTAATCATGATGTTTTGGCTTTTAGGTAGAGCCAAACAAAGTAAAGAGACCAGAAGTTCTAAAACCCAGAGCCCAGTTTACTAGCAATTTTTGTTTTCGTCAGAAGGAGATAGAACAAGTTCTGCACAATATCTGTACAAGATTTTTCTGCCCAACCCCGAAAAACCTCTTGGAACGATCTTGAATTCGCTGGAAATAACCTTGAATGGGCAATGAAATGCAGAATGGTGTGATTTACGAGTATTGTCAGTACACTCTGATCCTAGAGTTCGTAGATTTGCCAAAGCTCAGTCTGGAGAAACATTTATTTAGCAATGTTTGTAATGTTACAAAGGCTTTCCAAGCTGGTCAAGGCAGCTCCACTAAAATTGATATAATGGGAATTCAAGGGGCAGGTGAAACACAGGAAGTAAATCAATTTTAGAGCACTAATAATAGAGATGGAAAAGTGGGTTTCGAAGTGCAGAGAACAAACCAATCGCTCTACTGTAATTACAGTAATTAAGTTCTGCAGCTTTTGTTTACGTTGAGTTGTTTAATACAACGGAAATGCAAACAAGCACACACAGGACCACATCCATCAGATAACTAAACCCTGATCTGACTTTTGATCGTACCTTTTGACCGCTTTTGAGGCACGTCTCAAATCACATGGACTAGAAACTTAGCTTCAAAAGTTGTATGGGAGGATGGGAGCAACTGGATGCAGAAAAACTGCCGAAAAAACAATTACTACCAACCTGCCTTCAGTCGAGGACCTGTGTACTGCACAAGTCAAAAAGAGGGCTGTGAAAACATTTATAGGCCCCTCACATCCCTGACATAAACTGTTTCGACTCCTTCCCTCAAAACGTCGCTATAGAGCACTTCATACCAAAACAACTAGACACAAGGACTGTTTTTCCCCTG